CTTTTCGATGCCATCACCAAGAATCTTCTTTCTGAGGTATCTGTAATGTTGCATGGACAAGCTGAGGAGTCGGAATTCAATCGCACATCTGCAAAGATTGTTGATTTCTTTTTGATATGTTCAACATTTCATGTCTCTTACCCATATCCTCTACTGATCTCCGCCGATCACCCTTTTTCAGGCTTCTAGCATTTCGAAGGCTAATGTGAGTTGGTGACACGGCGTTCACCTTTGCTTTCACAACTGGAAATAAGAGTTTTCGGGAGAAAGTGTACGATTTTGTGCTCTCTCACCTAACTGACTGCGACAAAAGTGGTCCACGAGGTTCTCGTATGTTCCCACCTGACTGCAGGCTGGGCAGCTGATATCCCGAGCTGAAATTGGAGACATTCGACGATTGATTGACATCACAAGAGCAAAGAATCGATTCTAGAGGATATGAAACAAGCAAATTTCATTCGTTGTAGTCAAGTTGCTGAACAAGAAATTGGAAAAAGCTTGAGCTTGGCACAAATAATTCATCCATTTTAGAATATTTACGAGATCGTTTCCGGCAGTGACTGATCTCCTCACATCGATCATAGAGTCGATCACATACCATAGCTTAGCCGATTTGTTAAAGTGCACCGACAGAGTTAGGATTTTCATTGAAAAAGCCCCCACTCTTCGCATTTTTGTCGGCAGGTTCAAAGAAACGTACTTTTAGCTAGCTGTTGATATGTTCTCTAACACCGTGAATTCAGTTAAGTACAACATTAAGGCGCAAAAACAAAACAATGTTCTTTCCGCTTGTTACGTGTTTCTATGCATTGAGCTGATTAATCAGCATCTAAAAAGTGGAGCATTTTGATAGATAGTTGCAGAAAGAAAGCTAAAATGCTTTACGATTCGCTTTTTCTCATCAATTATAAGAGGAAAGCAGAAAAAGACATATAAAATATGAAGTTTTGTTGGCGTTTGAAGACCTTAGTGGTCTTTTTCATATTTATTGGAGTTTTGCCCATAGAAATGACGTGCTCGTTATCAGCGGTACTCTTTGGTCGTCCGCCTATATTTTTGAGCTCTGCGCGTTTTACAAAAATTTGTTGTTTCAGTTGATTAATGCATCTACCTTGGTACTGATTATTAAAGGTATCATCAGAGATTCTGAAGACTCACGTGATTGAGTATCAGAAGTGAGCGGGAGTGGGAATTTAGGCATAGTATCTTTTTCTTGATATATAGTCACTCAATGGATCCGCTGTTGTATTGGTAATTTAATCAAGTATTCTTTA